TACATTTTATATATATATATATATATATATATATATATATATACACACACACACACACAAACACAGTATATATATATGTCAAAACAAATGCAGAATATTAACACAAATGTCATTGAATGTAAAAAAATATATAAACTTTTGCAACTTTCACATTTTACAAGCATAGTACAAGCAGTTTATGAGTTGGTGAAAAGCTAATAATTAAATAAAAAATAAAAAAATAAAAGAATTAAAAAATAATCTAAATAAAATACTTGATCAAAAAATAATAAATATTTTGTTTACCTCCATTAACTGACATCAGAGCAGCATATGAATGTGTTATTAAATTATTGAAATATTAACTTAAAATCTCAGGGGGACTTCAGATATATTTTTACTGGATGCAGGGAAGATTTACATGGGTTTTTCTGTGGTCCATCAGGTCTGGGTCATGAGAACGTTTGGATCGGTTTGAATGATCGCACAGTGGAAGAGGATTTCCAGTGGACTGATGGGATGGATGTTGTGAGTCATTTTTCAAATATGAATTAGTCCCAAATAAACACCCCTTGAACCTTCAACTGCAGACTGTGAAGAAACTGACAGTGTTTACATGGTCTGCAATAATCTGACAGATCCAATGTGGTTTATTTATTCCATTCAGATTTCCGTGCACGTTCTTACTCCAGATTGCTTCATTTGTAATAATTTGACATTGTCTGTTCCTCTCACAGGTGTATGAGAACTGGCGTGAGAATCAGCCGGATAACTTCTTCGCGGGCGGAGAGGATTGTGTGGTGATGATCACTAGAGAGGACGGCAAATGGAACGACGTGCCCTGCAACTACAATCTACCTTACGTCTGCAAGAAAGGAACCGGTGAGACACTGTTTGAGCATACGTCAAAAGATTTTAAATTTTTTTTGGAAGTAAAGGCCTTACAAAGTGACGCCAATAAATGTTGCATGCACTGCAATATATCTTCCTCAGAATTTGTGTTTTATATTTGCTTGCAGATGTAAAATGATGCAGAATTAAAATATCTTGGAAAATCTGAACAAAATTAATTCGATTCGATTTCGATTTTCAAGCTCTCAATTCGATTCGATTTCGATTTTCGATTCGATATTCGATTTCAATTCCCGATTCGATTTACCTGTATATTAAACACTTTTTTATTTTAGGTACACTTGGGTACAATAAAACAAAACCCAACTCTATATTTCAAATGCATACAATGAATAGACAGAATTTTGATGCAAGATGAAAAACTAATGCTGAAAATTGGACAAGTCAGAACAGTCGCATGTCTTAATCAAACAGGATCACGTTATTTTATGTTTAAAACAAAAACAAATATCTGTCAGTAGTGTTTGAAAATGTATTTCCCCTTTGAATGAAGTTGGTTTTTCTGAGCCCATTTGCAGATTTATTTCAGTTCTTTTTTTAATCCTAAACTCAATTTTGATCAATTTCATCGTAAACAAGACCTCTTCTGTCATTTTGCTTCTCATGTAAATTTTCATGAGATTTGCACCGGAAAATGTCAAAAGTACTGAGGTAGAACAGCACTTTTTTGTGTTCCCTTTAATTTATTCCTTACATTTTCTTGACTTGGTCTTAAACGTGCATAAACCCTGTACATAAGTTGAATTAGCAGTCAATAATGTTTTCTGACCCTTTAAAGCTTTAATGCATCGTCCAACACTCACTTCACTGACACACACCTCAGAACGGAGCACGCTTTCCAGTTTAAGTGGTTATCGATGTGTGTGTGTGTGTGTGTGAGTGTGTGTGTGTGTGTGTGTGTGTGTGTGTGTGTGAGTGTGTGTGTGTGTGTGTGTGTGTGTGAGCTGCACTTAATAAACTGCACGAACATCTCAATGTAACATTGACTGTCATCTTCTGTATCAGTTTCGCTCTCGACAGTAACACAGATTAAATGATGTGTCCACTGATTCCTCAAACACTAACGCAGAGAGTGAAGTCAGTGTGTTCAGTTCTCATCGCTCTAAAGGCGAAACGCTTGCGTGCAGCACCTCGGTCCTGATTCATCGGGTCTGTGTGGCATTTCAATGGAGAGACGTCTTTCAGTCCTCCACACAACGGGGTCTCAGTTTTTAGGGTGTGAGTATTCAGACCCCATTGAGAAGGGCTCAGATTGTGGATTTAAGCTCTGGGCTCTGCACTACATTTCCCACGATGCCGTCCTTTGTGGCACGTCCAGGATCTCTCGCGGTTTTCTGTGGCTGCGACGGCAGAGGACAGATTTACAGCCTGCCTATGGAAATCAGGCTCATTGTCTGGAGACGGAGCGTTTGTGCCAGGACTTCAGGATTTCACTTCATTTCAATTGAAAAGGTTTAAACGTTTAAAAAAATTGAATTGTCCCTCCTGGAACCTGAAGTATTTAGATTTGTGTTCAAAAATAAAGGTTTATCAGTGATTGATTGTGTTTGTGTCAATTTGACCCACATTCAAAACATCTTGAAACTCTGGTGAAACTGTTTCTTATTGAAAATTTGTGCATTTTTCTCATTTAGGTTCATGATTGTGAATGATTTTAATCATGCTCTTAAAGGGATAGTTCACCCAAAAATGAAAATGACCCCATGATTTACTCACCCTCAAGCCATCCTAGGTGTATATGACTTTCTTCTTTCAGAGCAGGGGTGTCGAACTCAGTTCCTGGAGGGCCGGAGCCCTGCAGAGTTTAGATCCAACCCTAATTAAACACACCTGATCCATCTAATCAAGTTTGAAAACTACATGGTATGTGTGTTGGAGCTAGACTCTGCAGGGCTTGCGGCCCTCTAGGAACGGAGTTTGACACCCCTGTTTCAGACAAATGCAATCGGAGTTATATTAAAGGGGTCATATGATGCTGCTAAAAAGAACATTATTTTGTGTATTTGGTGTAATGAAATGTGTTTATACGGTTTAAAGTAAAAAAAAACACATTATTTTCCACATACTGTACATTATTGTTTCTCCTCTATGGTGTGGCTGACTCTGAACTTTTATAAAGAATATCTCTTTGGATTTGAGACTTTAGTGTTTGCAACTTTACAGATCTTCTTTATGCACCAAGAGCTTGTAACACTCCAAAGAGAAAGGAAAATTTGAAATCGCATCATATGACCCCTTTAAAAATGTCCTGCTCTTCCAAACTTTATAATGGCAGTGAATGGGGGTCCAGATTTTGAAGCAAAATAAAGTGCATCCATCCATCATATCAGATTTGAAGGATTTTCAGGATCAGTTCAATTAGACAAACGCTGATTGTTTATGATGTATGATATGCAGTGTTGGGGGTAAAGCATTACAAGTAACGCGAGTTACATAATCAGTTTACTTTTTTTCAAGTAACTAGTAAAGTAACGCATTACTTTTTAATTTACAAGAGAATATCAGAGTTACTTTTTCAAATAAGTAACGCTCCCTTCAACCTGATGCTTATTCATTTCACTTTTGGTGTGAAGAGGCTTTTATATTTGCCAAAAATATAACTTTTTTATTTTAAAAACAAACAAGCAAGCCCTGTCCAGATTTAAAAAGTAACGTAATGCATTACTTTCCATAAAAAGTAACTAAGTACCGTAATTAGTTACTTTTTTATGGAGTAACGCAATATTGTAATGCATTACTTTTAAAAGTAACTTTCCCCAACACTGATGATATGTCTGTGTGTTTGCAGTGATGTGTGGCACTCCGCCGGCTGTCGATAACACCTATCTAGTGGGCCGCAGACGCTCACACTACGACATCCACGCGGTGGTTCAGTACCAGTGCGCCGACGGCTTCTTTCAGAGACACATCCCGACTGTCCGCTGCCGACCCAACGGGACCTGGGAAAGACCCAAGATCATCTGCACTAAATGTGAGTCTAAACGCTGATCTGAATAAATATGGGTGGCTTTCTAAAAATGTTTTAGATATTTATTTTTTATTAATTTTATATTTACATTTTTTTTTTTTTCGGTTTCATTTTAATTTTAATTAAAATTGATTTAATTATTTAAATTAATTTAATTATTTTAAATGTAAGTGTTTTTGTCATTTTAGTAGTTTTTTTTGTGTATGTCTATATAGTTTTTATACATTTTATATTCCGGTTTTACATCAAAAATTGAAATGTTGGCTTGACAACTAGCTGAATTTAAATCCTTATATTTTATTTATCAAGTCACAAAAATGTGTGTGTGTGTGTGTTTTTAATGGTTTTAGTTCTTAGTTTCAGTTCTAGGTTAGTTAACTATAATAACCCTGGTTGTAAAGGGATTAAATAAATTCATCAGAATCTAAATTTATTTATTTTATTCGTACATCACCACAGTATTCAATATTCACCTTTCCAATCAACTACATATTCAGCCACTAGTCACCATCAATGTAACAAAACAAAAAAGCACATGGAAATGTAACAGTTGTTAAGGAGTCCTGCTCATCACACCATTTTTATATGCTGCCAAAAATGATCCCATGTTTTTTTTATGTCTCCCCAACATGCACACATATGATGAAATTTCAGAATCTGAATTGGTTTAAAGCAATTAACCAGTTAATTAAATATTCCTGATTTAATCAGAAGTGTTTAATTGGATAAAAGCATGTGCCGAATTAATTAATATAGTGTAAATATAAATGCAAATCAGATGTAGTCATGTGACCGTTTTGTTTCCTTCCAGCGCGGCGATCTCACCGTTACCGTCGGCAACACCACAGATCTCGGCGCGAGCATCGACGACACCGGAGACACGGATCTGGGCACAGGGGGCGGGATTAAGCCACGGTGGTGGAGCTAAAAAGCAGGGGTCGTGACCTCTTACCCCGTGGCCTGTGTTCCCGTGAGTCCATGAGGAATCGCTACAGACGGAATGGACAGAAATAATGGTTCTTTTTTACCGCTGTTATTTAGGTTTCATTAACCCTCCGTTCACATCTAGAGGAATGTTTTTCATTGGTTATTTCACGCAGACGTTCGGTGATGTGTCACTCACCGCCACAAACGCTCTTCATCTTTATACGATAGTCGTTTTAATTTGTCTACGCAGCAGGTGAAGGTTCTGGTAGCTCATGCTCATATTTCTTCAGCTTTAGATTTTTGGGATGTGATGCTTTAATGAAGTACTGAATGTCCAAACTGCCCAAAATCATTCATATTCATAAAATGAGATGATCTTCAAGCCTTTAAATGGCACAATGATTCTTTGTACCCCTTGAGACTTTACTTTTTTACTTTCATGTTAGGCGTTTGGTGATGATTTGGTTTATATTGCAAATTTAACTATTGTGACGTGTTGGATTAGAATCATAGTGAAACCTCTTATGTTCATAAATGAGTGAATCTCATGAAGAAAAGCAACGTCCAGCTTATGCTTCACACCAAAACTGAAAGAAAAACATAAGAAGTTATGTTTTGCATGAAGAAAATTGAAGCCTGTTTTTAAAACCATTAGGATTTTTTTTTGTATTGTGACAATTAAAGCACATTTTCCCTCAAATTAAACATCCAAATGTTTAAAAAAAAAAAAAATCTTAAAATTAAAATTAAATAAAAAATCATCCTGTCCAGAAAAAGTTTAATTTTAATTAAAATGAGAAATTCAGCATAAATTAAATAAATGGCACCATGAAATATATTTAATATAATCATTTAAAAATTGCCTTTACAATTTGAATGTATTATTATTATATGTGTAATTGTAATATGTTTAATTGTCATAAAAATGTAACAATTAAAACAATTCTTAATGCCAGTGTTATTTTAGTGTCACTGAGATTCTATTATAGTTTTTATTATATTTCGAATCAGTTTAAATGTTTCCATTTTCAATTTTCAATTTAATTTTACTTAAAGTTTTAGTAATCTTTTTGGTATTTTTTTGTCATTTTAGTAGTGTTTGTTTTTATATATGTCTATATATTATTTTTTATTTCTGTTTTTGTTATTTTAGTGCATCGTTAAACTAAATTAAAATGACAAATGTTGCCTTGGCAACTAGCTGAAATAAAAATGTATTTAATTTTATTTCACTTAACATTTATATTTATTATTTTTTAATGGTTTTAATTTTAGTTTTAGTTTACCTATAATAACCCTGCTTTATGCAAAATGTAATTTCTTATTTCTTTTTGATGTGGGGTGAAATATGAGCAAAGCTGAACTGAAACTGAGTTTGTGATTGAATCAGTTCTCACACAAATTGTTATGAAGCTTCCGAAAGATCTGGAATAGAGATGATTGACAGGTGCTCGTCATGTGTGGATTTGAACATCAAACTAACATCTCTGTGTTCAGCGTGATTCCAAGTGAGTCATTTCTGTTGACTTCCGAAGGATTTATTTGAGTCTTTGAGCAGAAACAAACACAAACACGCTGAGTCCTCAAGAGGGTGATAGAGTCTCCTTCAGATCTCAGTGTTATTAAATTTAATGGATTACTATTCAGGTCACTTCATATAAACATGTCAACAGTTCAACTTGCTTGGAAAGATCAATACATCGACCTGAAAGAGAAAACTGAGCCTAGGAAAAAGTGTATGCATGAACACATACTTTAAATTGCGTTGTGACACATTTGAGTGAGTGTTCACAGACTTTATCAGGTACGTTTGAGGCCACAGGGTCTCGTGTCTCATTCAGACGCTCGTATCTGATCTTCACGACCGCGTATGAGAGTTTATTCTCACCTGCTGAAGTGTGTGTGAATGTGACGTGTTGTAGGAGTTTCAGACGGATTCATTTCACATGCCTGTTGCTTGGTAACATGTCAACATGTGTCTCGGTGTCCTTCCTGTGTGTGTGTGTGTGTGCAAGAGAATGCAAGTGTGTGTGTGTGTGTGTGTGTGTTATTTGTGACAACTGCATGCGTTTCTGTGTGTGTTTTTTGTTTGTGAAGTTTTAAGTGTTTTTTACACTACAGATGAGACTCATTAATTAATTCACAACCACACACACGGCAAAAAATGAGTTTCATTGTCAATATTTCTGTCTTGTTTTCCAGTACAAACATCTAAACATTCCTAAATAAAGATACATTTACTTGAGAAGCAAAAATATTACTTTTTCTAACAAAAATTAAGTGTTTATGCTTAAAACAAGAAAATGTCTGCCATTGGGTTCAGAAAAATAAACTTGAATTAGGTTTAATTTTTCTTCCCCAATTTGCAGATATTTTTTTCCAATATTACCATAAAGTATGCTTCCCAGACAGCAACATAGTGTTGGCCCAGATCCGGCCCACATCTGGCCCGTGTGAAATCCATGCGGGCCAGATGTGGGCCGGATCTTGGCCGAAACTGGTTGCCGTCTGGGTTAATATAACACTTTACAAATCTACTTTAAAATAAACTTGTTTTCTCTTTGAATTGTATTAATAAATGTAAATTTTTTTACCCCACTGACAGATATTTTACTTGTTTTAAGCATAAACTCACTTAATTTTAATAAAACATAATAAGTCTTGTTTTCTGAAAAATTCAAATAATTTTGCGTCTTGCATAAATTTACTCTCAAATTAAAAAACCAACATTAAAAAATCCTGTTCTCATCACTGCTAGAGGTTTGAAAACCATCCTGTCCAGAAAAAATAAATAAAAATGTTTTATAAATTCAGCATGAATTGAATTTAGTACAACAAATATTACCATAAAGTATGCTTAATATAACACTTTACAAATCTACTTTAAAATAAACTTGTTTTCTCTTTGAATTGCATTAATAAATGTTTATTTTTCTTACCCCACTGACAGATATTTGACTTGTTTTAAACATAAACTCACTTAATTTTAATAGTATTTGACTTAATGTTTTAAGTAATTTTGCTTCTCAGGTAAATGTGTCTTAATTTAAGAATATTTCGATATTTGGCAAAAATCTTTTTTTGCAGTTCAGTATCTGTTTCTAAACCTAGTGCGCTTCCTAACTAGACAACTTAAAGATGCAACTTCTTTAAGGTTTTCTAATATCACTTTAACAGAGAAGTTAATGTCAGAATGCATTGCAGCAAGCTCAGTTAAATCTAATGCAGTATGTGGGATGAAGTTAAAAATACATTTTATTTAGTGGTGGAAAATAAACAACCCAATTGCTGGGTTTGTCCCTATTTTACCCATGCACTGGGTTGTATTTAACCCAGCATTTTTTAGAGTGTAGTGTTAAAACTGAACTTAGGCAATTCTATTCTCATTTTACACCAACAGAAATTAATTATACTTCAGACTAAATGTGTACAAATCCATTTCTCTTCTCAGTATTTAACATGACGAGTGTCTCCATGATGCATTTTGTTCATTTTACAGGTGAATCAATTCTAAATATGCTAATGTTATGATATATTTTATGAATATGAAGTATGCATAAGTTTATTGATGTTTTCTGAGAGGCCTGTGCATGACGGCAGTTTTTCATACACAGTTAATTTTAGTATGCTGTGCTGTTTTATTGCTCATTATTGCTCTATTAGGACTCGTCCCATTGGAAGGACACTCACTTGCATTCATTATGTGATTTTAGACATCAGCAGTCACACAAGCACACATTCATCTAATGATTTAGGCCAGAAACATGCTTAATGCATGCATACTTTAAAAGAATACTTTACCCAAAAATGAAAGTGTGCTCACCCTCAGGCCATCCAAGATGTAGATGAGTTTGTTTCTTCATTAGATTTTGAGAAATTGCTCTGCAGTGAATGGGTGCCGTCAGAATGAGAGTCCAAACAGCTGATGAAAACATCACAATAATCCACTTTCTGTAATAATCCAATAATCCTTTTTCTGTTTCTTTAAGCAAAAGTCTCCTGTGTAGGAGAAGCAATTGAGATATTAAAGCGATCTCATTTGTGATATTTATTTCCGGAGGGATTTGTTCTGTTGTGTTATACAGACTCATGTCCTGCTGTCCATTTTCCCTCCATTGTGTCTGATCCTGACGCCCACTTCAGGTCCATGAGGTCAGATTGAGCTGCTGTTGATCTGATTGTGTTGAAGTTACTCTCATTGTTTGCTATATTTAGTTTTCTTTTCTGGCCAGCGGCCTGTTCTTCCATCTGTAAGACTCACACAAAGGCAGTGTTCACTTTCCAGCCCAGAGAGCTTCATATAAACACACACACACTTATGTAGAGAAAGGGTTAGAACTTGATAAAAAGTATTAAAATGAGCTGAGAGTATCAAAAACCCATATTTTTTTAATCAAGGCAGCATTTATTTGATCAAAAATACAGTAAAAACTGTGAAATATTATATTATGTTAAAAAATGTAATTTATTTCTGTGATGCGCAGCTGTATTTTCAGCATCATTACTCCAGTCTTCAGTGTCACATGATCTTCAGAAATCATACTAATATGCTGATTTGCTGTCGTTATCAAACAAGAAAGGTAATTGCTACATTTTACTCAACAATTCTTTTTTTTCCTTGCAATTGCGAATTTAAATATCAATTTATTTATTTTTTTTTTGTCTGAGTTCTGAGTTTTCCAACTCACAATATTTTTTTCACCACGGAATAAAAATAAATAAAAAGGCAATTGTGAGTTTATATCTTGATTTTTTTCTCAGAATTGCAAGAAAGAGTCAGAATTGTCAGATAAAAACTCAGAATTGTGAGTCAAAATTGCCTTTATTTATTTATTTCATGGCAGAAACAATCTTCAGTTTGTGTTTCGTTACGTGTATCTCAGTTATGAAAAAGAAGAAATGACAGATATGAAGTGAACATTTATTCTCTCCAGCGTTTAGTAGACCTATTTCACTCATAAGCCCCGTTTAATTAACTAATTAATGGTAAAATCTGATTTTTTGCGTTGCATTTTCTGTCCTCAGGGTTACCTTTATCTGAATAAACATCTCCTTTCACAGAGGTATAAATGGTTAACTTATTCGGTTGGTTTGAGCCCTTCATGTGTTTTCAAAGACCGATCAGCCATAAACAGCAGATTCAGCTTTAAGCTAATGAGCATCTCCGTTGCCACGGTTACCGGCCACATCAAAGCGTTCCGCTCCGCAGATGAAATAGTTAAACATGCTCTTTGTAATTCCAGAAAAAATAGCCAGCATCATGAGCGTTTGAAATCCTAATGGGGCGATCAGAGAGAGACATCTGTTTGAGTCGCATTCAAACGTGCCCAGTTCGAATCTACACCCTCAAAACAACATTAAAAACTTATTTGAATCGATTCAGGATTCAGTTATAGTTCATTAATGCGAGGAACATCTGCCAAAACATACCGAATCAACATATTTGAAATATGCATGCATCAATGATTCAGATTTTAATAATCTATGAAAAAACTACAATTGGTGAAGAAACAATTTTCACAAATAATTACAAAGAAATGGCCAGTGACATTGTCTGAAATAAAAGACTGAAAAAATATTTTCTTGTAAAACCTACTCCAATAATATTTCGAAAAATCAGTACAGTGTAGTTATTGTGCTTTATGTGTTCATTTCTTATCCAAAATTCAACCAAATTGGCCCTCCAGTCAATGTTTTTGAAAATGATTCTGAATAATTCTGAACCAAGCTAACAGGTAACATTCTCAGAACTTTGGCTAAGGTTCTGGCAGGGCTGCAGAGCAACTGATTACACGTAATCCAAAAATAAAGTACTTGTTAGATTATATTACATTCTAAAATGCTCATAATCAGATTACAGTTACTTTTTATGGATTACATGATTACATTATTATTCACAAAATGGCAGTAAATTATTTATAATTCATTCATAGTTTGGGAAACCCTGCTGTAATTTAATGTATAATCCATTTTTGATGTTGATAACAAGGTATGGAATATATTTTCTTTCTCTTTGTTTTTTGTTTTTTTTATCAATATGGTACACAACCCCATTCAAGTCTATGTGATCAACAAGTTAGATCAAAAGTAATCTAAAAATAGTCAAACTACATTACCTAATATGTGTAATCCAGATTATTTTATCACGTAATTTGTAATCAGTAATGGACTACAATTTATATAATGTTTGCAAAATTATAAAATGGAATGTTGGCTTAATGTTGTTGTCACATAACCAAGAACAATATTTTTTAACATTTAAAAAAGTTTTTTTTTAAAAACATTTTTAAGGCATTTTTTAAACATTTAAAAGCTGGACATTTTGAACATTCAGAGAACATTAACATTTTCATAACTTAATGTAAACATTAGCAAAACGTTAGCTGGGAATAATTTTTTAATTGCAATTGAATCGAATCAAATCATCGTCAGAGCAAATATTTCCACCCTTTTAAATAAGCCGTGGATAAGGATTTTTAATGGCTAATCATTTAATTAAATTATATTCTTATCCTCAGGAACATTGCAGATACAGTGTTACAACTGATGTAATGATGAAAGATCACTGGGCCGGCAACACTGCAGTCGTTCCGATGATGTTATCAGCTGCAGAGCAAAGGTCAGAGATTTGATTGGACGAGGCAAAGAAATGTGATCTCCTCACATATCTTTAAATTAATCATTCGTCTAGTTTCACTGTGTTGCAATGCTATAAATATCTCTCCCTGCTGAACCCGTGCCCCGGCGTTGCCTTTGGAGCCCAACACGAAGAATTATAAACAGCGAATTTCACAAGACAAGAGATATGAGGGTTCATGACAGGCAAAGCGCACACATACCACAGAAAAGTGTTGGGAAAACACTATGCAACATAGAAAAAGATACAAAAGATCCCAAGTAAAACATATGGGTGAATCTGCCAAGAACGCATTCAGGACATATTTTGGCATTTGACAAAAGAACATCTTTTGTAGCTTTATATATCATAAAAAAGGTTTTTATGACTATTTCAATACCATATCTCACACTGCATGAGTTTGTGTGTGTGTGTGTGTGTGTGTGTGTGTGAGATTCACCCAATCAGGTACTGTTTTAGTAATATAAACTAATTTAAAAATAATTCTAGTGAATGAAAAAAAGTCTTTGCAGCAAGAAACCACTACTAAACACACACAGACATGATCAGGCCACACCCTGAGCGTCGACGGCCTTCAAACGTAAACTATGTAAACCAGTCCAGAGTCCATATTTATTGAGATTTCACCAACTGACGAGAGATAAACCTGGTTGAGATGAGTAGTTTGAACTGTTTCACACACTTTACACTTGAACAAAGCTGCAAAACACCATGTGAAATAGAAACTCGGATGACTGACATTTTGGTCGATACCAACAATCGACAATTATCAATTATAATATTTCAAATCCATACCGTTCACACAGTACCATGCTTATAATAAAATAAATAAAATTAGGCATCTAATATCATTCTAATCACACTGATACTGACAATGAAAAAAATGCATATAATCTAGCACAGAAAAAGAATTTACTGCTTGAATTTGAAAAAAAAATAGGCCCAAAGTCTTGTATCTGCTTATAATATCCCAGCTTACATGGAATGTTCCAACAAGATTCTCTCAATGTTATGAACAAACGTTCTTCCAGTTCCGTTCTCATTGTTCATGGAACTTTTTTCTGAAACGCTTTAGTCTAACGTCTTCTAAATGTTTGAGAAAAATCCCAGCAGACAGGGAATGTTCTCAGAATGTTCTGGCTAGTTTCTCTCAAAATGTATGAACAAACGTTCGTTCAAAGTTATCTAATAAAGATGGTAGCACAAAAACGTTATTTATACATTGTTAATAGACCTTTTAAGTTTGTCTGACGTTTTTGTAAATGTTACAACTTGTTTTAGAATCTTCACAGAACATTCAAAAGTAACATTTCCTTAATGTTGCAAAATGATACAATGGAATGTTCCATTAACGTAACATTTTTAACTGGACGTTTTGAACGTTTGAACTTAATGGGAACGAAGCAAAATGTTCTTAGAAGATTTTTGTTAGCTGGGATCAGCCTGATCAGACCGAAAGGCTCGCTGGACATTTTAAAAACACAGATATAGTCACTGATACATTGATGCTTTTACAAATAATTTATGGCGGTTTCAGCTGAAACACTTCACTGTCCTGTAAAGAGGACACATGCATGTTCTTGCACGTGGATGTTGATGATTTTAATTGTTCTTCTTGCCGTTGCTGGCCTGCTCCTGAGGAACGTTCTTCATGAAGAAGGTCTGGTCCATGTAGCAGCGGACGGCGAGGAGGACGGGCACGGCTGTGTACAGCAGGTTCAGCGTGACCACCTGCCTCCACTCGTCTTTAGGGATGCGGTAGGTGAACGGTGTGCGCGAGTGAACAGACGCGCCCAGGTGAGTCCACTGCATCTGTGAGAACATCACACACACGGTTAATACTACAGACAGATGAGATATTAGACGAGATATTTTTTTAACGTTACTGGCACTGATCTGAATTGTAAATGGATAATCCAAGGTCATTTTTTTGTCTCAATAAGACTATACCAGTTTTAAAATCTGTTGTATTATGTTTTGATCTAAACTTCTAGATAGAAGTTTAATTTTGAAGAGATTTATTCAGACAAAACAGTACAGATTGATACTGGGCTGTCATATCAGTTACTGACTGTAACAAAAATAATGATTAATTATTGTATCTTAATATCTTCATTTCACACATTTTCTCTGATTGATGATGTTTTCTCCTTTTCAACCTAAAATGTGTAACCAGTACAAAAAAAAAAAAAAAATCAAAACTACAATGATTATTTGACTAAAACAATCTACAAAATTATACATATTATATAATTCATAATAATTGTAAATCATTTTAATTAAAATAAGTTTTGAATAATTCAAAACTAAATTCCCAAGTAAAGTTCCTCTCAGTGTTATTTTAGTATTATTTATATATTATTGTATTATTTATTAATATTTCTAATTAGCTTTTATGTTTATATTTTTAATGTCACTCATCTGTAGAAATCACAGGTATATTGACCAGACTGAATAATCAACCAATATCTGATTTTTAAAAAATTTTTATATTGTGTAATATTTTATCGTAATATGTAAATATTGTGTAAAACAAGTTTAGCATTTTTTTGAAATAGCAATTTTTTTGTGTGTGATTTTTGTCATTTTTTAAACATTTAAAAAAATATATTTATATTTATCTTAAATTTATTTTTATTTCAGTTTTAGTAATTTTAGCACTTCAGCTTAAAACTTATTTGATTTCATTTAATTTTCAAGGCAAAATTTTTAGTTTTTTTTTTTTACTTTTTCATCTAATATTTGTCTTTTTTGTATGATATAAAGCTAAAAATGAATAATTATTTATTAATTTATATGAACAAAATATATTACTAAATAATTGCAGCTTTTCAATAAACGAAAATGAGTTTTAATAGTTTTAGATAACAACAACAACAGCACTGGTTGCTGTATATGTACCTGAGCTACAGCTCCTGCGAGGACCAGCGTCCAGTCCAACATCCATGTGCATCCAGGAGTGTAAAGCCCATAAACACATGCCGTCAAGAGCGGCAAAACATAGAAGAGGAACACCAGCATCTACAAGACATGAGATCCATCAGTCCATCATGTTTCCATCTCAATGATATCTCTATATGTCATTCTTTCCGTACTATAGTATATACTAGTACTAGTGCATCTCAAAGCATAAAAATCAGACTCACCGTGACTTTTGGAAAGCCGACGCTGTCTTTCATGTAAGGCTCGTACTGGAAGATGTATGTAAAACAAAAATCCAGAGAACATTCGAGAACAACCTGTAAAAGAAATAAAAAAGAGAGAAGGAAAAGGGTGAGTGATGGAATAAATGGCTGGAGAAACAGACACTTGGACGGATGTGTAGATACTTACAAAGCCTCTGAACGCAGTGAAGATGATGCTTCCCATGAGGCCCAGCGTAAGCAGCAGGTCTGTGGGACGAGACAGCAGCGTTTTCTTCTGCTCCACCTCCACCTACAGACCACATCAAACCCATCTAGTACTTCCACATCAGTAGAGACTTTAGAGGCGGTGTGTTCACCTCAAGGCACATAAATAGTTTGAAATGAATGGCTCGGCCACTGCTGGATTTGTAAATGATTATACTCATTCAAGATGAGCGTTTATTCTCGGTTCTGATCAGTGGATCTTAGAGGATTGAATCAATACTGTGCTGTCAATCATCAGGAATTTCACCTTGTCAGCAGGAATGATTGACAGCTCTCTCGGCCTGTTGAGAAGCTTTGCTGCCGCCCATATGGGTAAAACCAGAGAAGGGGCGTTTCTCCAGAAAGCAGGGAGGAGGTTTTTTCCATATTTACCTGAAACACAGAAACAAACACATTCACATTTTCATACATCAGGGGAGGGTTTTAACAATAAACACACACTTTTAGTTTGGAGAAGTTGAGTTTCTGACCTACTACAACGCCTGTGATTAAGACGATCTCACTGGCGATCATGGATCCGGCCCATACGAGAGCTAAACTGCGAAACGGCTTCCTGTATGAAGAGAAACCAACAACACGACATCTCAATCACAATTGCTTTATATCATTTTTGCTTTAATATAAATGTGTATATGGTTGAGCAAAAAGCCATTTTTTTTTTTTTAGATTTGATTTTTTTTTTCAAATATCAATTTTTTTTTGTGACTCTATCATTTAAATAAGTAAAATAATTGTTATAAAAAATTGTAAAATAAGTGTTAAATATTAAAAATAAAAAACATATATATTTAAAACAATATAAAATATACAATTATAATTTTTTATATTAAATTTGATATATATATACATACATAATTTTATTATTTATAATAATTATTTATATATATAATTAATTGAATACAATTTTATTAATATTAATATATTATTAAAATATACTGTTTGTGTGTGTGTATATTTTTATAATTTAAATATTTATATTTAATGAAAAAATAACATTTATATTAATATATTACAAGCTGCATGCATAATAATTATAAAATAATTGGCAAAATCCGTTAAAAATAGTTTTAAAACTATTGAAAATTCACCTGGAGAGTTTAATGTGTCACTCTGCAGGAAAAGTATTTCATGTCAACTTCCCATATCTGCGTCACCCATAAATATATTGGCATTGTTGTGTTGCTGTGTGTTTTTGTAGTTGTGATAATGATTGTACCCTGCAGTCATGTGGTGGGCCATGATGAGGAGCAGACCGTAGTGAACGACGCCGTCCCAGTAGCTCATCATGATGCCGTGGGCCGTGCTGAGGTACGGCTCTCCCTTTAACACACATGTGAGAGGGTCAGTTCCGTCAGTGTGTGTGTGAGTGTGAGTGTGAGTGTGAGTGTGTGTGTGTGTGTGTGTGTGTGTGTGAGAGAGAGAGAGAGGAACAGGTTGTGTGTGTGTGTGTGTGAGTGAGTGTGTGCGTGTGTGTGCATGTGTGTGTGTGAGAGAGAGATCTAACCTTGCTTATATAAAAGTCCATGAAGCCCTTGATAAATCCGTGGTGCTGCAGTGCATTGGTGATGCTGACAACAGAGGTGAAGGAAAACACGGCAAACACTGAAAGACACACAGACTGGAAACATCAGCACATCTCTCACTCTGCACACGTTTATCTCTCTCTCTCTCTCTCTCCCTCTCTCTCCATCAAACCCAAACAGCCCTTCTCTCCTCTCCATCTCTTAGTCTCTGTCTGGCTTTCACTTTCTTTTCCTCGCCAGCTATTGATTTCTCTCCCAAACAGCAGTTAATGATGGCTCACGGTTGTCCAGGTGAAGGTGGATTTTAATCATGCAGCCCTCAGACCAGAGTTTCTTCATTCCCTATTTGAAAAGTCACCTTGCTTTTGGATTCAAGCATGCATTAGCGCTGGCAGCCGGACAGATAGAGGCTGGAGAAACTTTAGAGGAGCTGAGATCACTCATGGATTGATCACAGCAGGGCTGATTTAGTGGCTGTCCACCGACTCAAGAGCTGTCAATAACGGCGACACGTCCAACATGATAATGTATTGCTCTGAGGGTCCAGAAGCATCTCAAAAAGCTCTCAGTTAGGATTTAAGTTTAAGCTTTGCTTCCAAATGGTGTCCTGAAAAGCTTGAGCAATATTTGAATTGCAGACTTTGGTATCTTGACAAGTCTGAGCACAGTTTGAGATCTCAGACTTGTCTGAAACTCTTGATTAGTTTACTGTGGTCTTTTTCTCAAGAGAAACATGAGCAGGATTGAGCTCATATAAAAATATCAGTTTGCTATGCATACAGAACTACCACATTTTGCTATAAGTTTGATTGCATCATATAATAATTGCTGTTAATAGTGTTCATCGTCTGTTTGATTACGTCTTTAATTGATTTTTCCGTACATTTCTGCCATATGTACATTGACTGACAGTCACCACTGATAAGCTACCACTAAATATTGTAGAAACTTAGTTTCCTGTAAAGTTGCTTTGCAATGATTTGTATCGTGAAAAGCGCTGTACAAATAAACTTGAATTGAATTGAATTGAATTTGCAAACTGATGCATAGTAAAAATGATTTTTCGAAGTTGCAAATAAAACAAAGATTGTGTTTAAAATACTATTGCAGTCTTTCTACTTAAAAATTTCACGTTTAATTCAATGCGTTATTTTGCCGTTTCTTCCTAACTTTAATTTTTTGTAATTATTTGTGAATTTCTGAGTGAAAATTCAGAAATTGCAAGTAAATTTCACAAACAATTACAAATAAATATTTTTTTTTAAGCAGAAACACTGAAAAACTCCAGTAATCTTTCTTTTATTTGCAAATTTTAAAATAATTTTTACGGTGTATACTGCATTTTTCCCAGTGTGTCTGGAGAACGTAATTAATTTTTCTTTCATTTGGGGTATTTTTGGGTGTTTTTGTATTGTTGCATTGCGTCTTCATCTGTCAGTATTGGTCTTACCGTAGAAGAGAGGGTCGGTAGATTTTTTACTCTTGACACTGAGGTTTGCCAGGAGAAATATCGTTGTAAGAACCATAATGCCTATTGCCAGTATAACCTGTGGACTGGACGAGAAAACACGTCATTCGAAACATCCGTTTGATGCATGCCATTTCATTCATAATGCAGAATAAGGCTGTAGTCCAAGCGTGAAAATGAGATTATCAGAGGTTTGTTTTTATCTTACATGATCAATGACAAACTAAATCTCACAAAAACCTATCCAGATCATACTTCACCCCCAAAACAACTAAAAAACTAAAAAAAAAAAAAAAGTTATAACTTGCATAAAGAAAAGAAAGTCCATTTTAGGAATGCATGTAATTCTCATTATTGAAAAATTAGATTTCCATTAAATTCTTATGACTGTATTACAGTCAATTTTATTGTATTATATTTAAAATGCTGCAATACATTTTTTAAAATTAAAATCAGTATCAAATATTTAATATAATAAATATAAATATATTTATTGTCAAACTTAATTCCCATTTAATTCTTATGACTGTAATACAGTAAATTTTATTATATTACATAAAAAATGTTGCAATACAATTTTTTAAAATTTAATAAGCATAAATTAAAAGTACAAAATATTTAGTAAATATAAATATATTTAATACATATAATATATTTAATATTTAGATATCAAATATTTGCATGGTGTAAATAATTTACAACTTAAATAATATATCTTTTTCAGCATTAATGAAGGTTAAAGTTGTAGTTCAAGTGTATAAATGAGATTATCAGAGGCCCATTTTTTTAAAATACGTCATCATTTGCATAAAGAAAACAAAGCCTATTTTAAGACCATATGCAATTCTCATAATTGTCAAAGTTGAGTCCTATTTAATTCTTATGACTGTAATACAGTAAATTTTATTATATTACACTAAAAATGTTGCAATACAATTTTTTAAAATTTAAATAAGCATAAATTAAAAGTTCTAAATATTAGTAAAATATAGTAAATATAAATCTATATAATAAATGTAATATTTAGATATCAAATATATTTAATATGACTGTAATACAGTAAATTGTATTATATTACATTAAAAAATGTAATAAGCATAAATTAAAATTACAAAATATTTAGTAAATATAAATATATTATATTACACTAAAAATGTTGCAATACAATTTTTTAAAATTTAAATAAGCATAAATTAAAAGTTCTAAATATTAGTAAAATATAGTAAATATAAATCTATATAATAAATGTAATATTTAGATATCAAATATTTGCATGGTGTAAATAATTTACAATTTAAATAATATATCTTTTTCAGCATTAATGAAGGTTAAAGCTGTAGTTCAAGTGTATAAATGAGATTATCAGAGGCACGTTTCTTAAAAATAAGTTAGCATTTGCATAAAGAAGGACCATATGCAATTCTCATTATTGTCAAAGTTGAGGCTTATTTGATTCTTATGATTGTAATACAGTAAATTTCATTGAATTGCAGTAAAAATGCTGCAATACGATTTTTAAATATAAATAAGTAATTTGCAATTTAAATAATATATCTTTCTTTATTATGGTAATGAGAATTTTGAGGGTGAAACTGAATTACATTTGTGTGAAATCATTTCACAATATGAAAAATATGACTATCAAAATGTTCTTGACCGATTTCATGAGATTCACCAATGAAATCTAGAAAGCAAGAATGACTTGATGAAATAAAGTAGAGGTTGATTGCCCTCTTTTGGCCAAATCACATCATTAAAAACTCATACAAACTGTTTAAAAGTCTTGTAAACTTGTAAAACATGATCAATTTGGCATTGTTTAATGCCAATGCATTGTTCTTTAACATGCATTATTGTAAAATAATGACATACGAGGCAAACTTACTCTTGTAGGAAGGACACATGGTTGATTGTGTAGAGAATAAAAGGTGCTGTCAGAGACAGAATAAAAACACTGATCTCTGGAGGCAAATCCATTTGAGAAATCAGGAATCCACAAATATGAAATCAGCTGAGCTCTATTTAACGACTCTTTAACGCAAAAATACACAAGCAATATATAAAAAAAACAATGAAAAGCTATTAAATAGCTATTAAAATAAATATCTAGAAACTGCAATAAGGCATCCTGTGCTTTGATTTCTCTGAGCTTCAAGTGTGTCGCTGTGGTTCCTGTAGTTTAGCTACTCAGCACTGAGGATGATGGAATCAACATGAAATCAGGGCAAACCTTTCAAAGTCCACGGACTCTGAACGATTACCGCCCATTAGTTTAAAGAAAGAGTCCCATCAATAAGGCGCAACCATGATCAAAGACACTTCTGACTTTACAGCAATTTATTATTTTATACTAAATATTATATATCGGTATAGCCTATATAGGTGCTGATTGTTTGGATTATCTCAGAAGAGACCCTCCAATAACTGAATATCTATTTTTTCCCCTTAATATTAATAAAATGATATGTTTTATACTTGTTTAGACCGCAAAATATCTTTACAATAAAGACATAAAATACACTAATTAAAATATATTTTTACAAATGTCTATTTCTAAACAGGGGGAAATAGTAAACCAAATGACTTGTGATTGTTTTCTTTTTTTTACGGCACAAAATTCACCTAGCGTCCGCGATGACGTCAGCGGAAGAGTCCTCCTTCTTTCAGATCAAGATGGCGACGTCGACCAGGAAGTAGGTAAACAACCGTACAGGGGTAGAAAAATATGGATTAACCCCTCCAATCCGCCTTTACCGATCAAGAAAAACCCAGATTGAGTGGTCGTTAGTGCTCGTGGAGGGGTTTCGCGTACCGGGGGGTTTAATTAACGCGCGGTGAGTGAGTTTTCTGTCAGGTTAGCATGTTAGCACGAATCAAACAATAGCGCTCCATTGAGTCAGTCAGAAAAATACGCAGACAGTTGATAAATTCGTTAATAAATCAATTATGTTAATCTATAATAAGCTGGTAATCATATCAAAGTGACGTGCTTGAGGGGTCAGTGCTGTATGGCTGAGGGTTTTCAGGTTGACAAACGCTCAGACAGATAATTCGATCACAATCTGATAGATACTTAAACGTTTTTAGTTTGATAATGTCTTTTTATTAAGGGTGAGTTAGTGACGGGTTGTATTATAGACGTCAGAATAAAACTGACACACACTTACAGTGTAATTCCCCCCAAGCTGTCACATAGACAAGGCCTACATATTTAATATATTATATTTTAACCCATTAGCCCTGACATATGTCTGTCTCACATTCTATTCATTCTATCAGTTAGCTTTCTATCTGAAATAAACTGCTTTATTTTATATATAATATATAAATGCCTCAAAAAGGTCCGATTTTTTTTTTTCATTCAGATCATCTGGTAAGATAATTTGTTAATGGAAACTCATGCATTTAATAAATAAAAATGCAGAATAGAACTAAATATATGAATGCATATCCAGGCATGTATCTGTATCTTGTATATTTTATCTCGCTAGTTATCACAGCCAGTTCAGTGATAGGTCAAACAAACCTGCAAGGTTCAGGTAAGCAGTTGTGTGCATCACCAGCATCATATGATCATACATTCTGCTTTATCATCAGTACAAGACGACTTTCCAGCAGGACTCATCAGTCTGAGTTATAAACACTGTAACGAATAGATTATTTGTGATGAGTATCATGCTGACTGATCTCTCTCTCTCTCTCTCTCTCTCTCTCTCTCTCAGAGATGGCTGGAGAATGACAGGGCTTTGACACGTGACCATGTTTCTGCTCGGAGCCTGATGCCCACTCTTGCCACGTCTGTTGTCATGGAAACGGAGGACTATCTGCACCCCGAGGGCCCTCAGCTGGGGAGCCCGAAGTTCAGCGCTCCCAGTCCTCCTCTCACAAGTTCCATGGAGGTACATACTGAGCCTTATAATGTCTGAACAACCACACACACTTTACATTAAGACACACCGTTTACGGTAAATGTTACGGTTACCCCTTTACTATACTAAGGCTGAAGGTCTGCACATGTTTGTTGAACTTGAATCCTGAACCTGAGACCCTGTGACTCAAAACCAAACCAGAAATTGCCATGTTTCTTTAATTTCCTCTCTGAGTGAGTAGAACAAGGGTCTAAAAAAAAGTCATGTTTTCCATTAAAAAAATGAATTTGGCCTATTTTGGGGACTTTTTTTTTTATAATGATGTATTGCATTTTTTCATGTGATTTAACTACAGTGATGTTTGTTTATAATTTTACTTTAAAAACGTACGGTAAATTATGTGATTTTGTTTTGGGGAAAAATTGCTTAATTGACATTAAAATGTCACAATACAAAATAGGCTTATGTAATTTTACTACGTTTAATATCTTGTGAAATATGATACTTTTTTTTTTTTTCCATAAATTGCAAACTTTGGGGAAAATTGCCATGAAAATGTTACAATGCAAATTTTAATGGTCCTAAAAATAGACTTTTCTGTTTTTATATATATATTTATATAATTTTACAATTAAGTTTAATTGTAAATTTTGTACAAAATTAGTAAAAAAAATTAAAGAAAATATTAATATTAAATTTTTCATGAATTACAAACTTGAACCTGGAAAAAAAAATAATGAAAATGTCAGAGCAAAAAATATTAATGATCCTAAAAACAGGCTTTTCTATTTTTTATATAACTTTACAATTAAATTACAAACCTGAACCCAATACAAACTTGAAATTAGACTTGAACATCTGTCCCAAACCTTTCTGAATCCAGGTCAGGCTTAGGTTTGATAGCAGATTTAACTTAATATACAAACCTGCAGGAGTCTGTTTGATGCTGCTTTTTTCTAGTGCCATACTCTTGATGACAAATTTCCTGATTAAATCTGCAGTTTTGAACTTGAACCGTTTTCTCTTCATCATTATTGCTCTAGTTGGTCTTGAACCCTGTCCAGAATGGGACGGACCTGGCGTGCTTTGGTAGCCAATGGTAATCATTTCTCTAGAAACAGTAGCCTCACGTCACCTGGTTTATGGTGGTTTATTTGGTGAACTGTTGGTCTTCACCCTGTATGTGTGCGGTTTGTTTCGGGTCTCACCGTGTCAGTATGAGTCACTAAATCATCAGCACTGCCAGTAAATATTTGGGTTGATGGGTAATATCTTTGCTGAATAGTGTTTTCAAAGGGCCACTTCCTGTGTCAAATGTGCTGTTTGTTTCCTGTTTCCCCCAGAGTCAGCTGTGTCCGTCGAACTCATGGACGTACCCACAGCAAACTCAATACAACCAGCACTATCCTATGCAATCTGGGAGGTGAGTCGTGCACAGTGTCTTTTCAAAAAGCATGCATTATCCATTATATATAATGAATTGTGCATTAAATACATTAATAATAATGTATTGACAATAAATAGTCAACACAGCGTTTTATTCCTCGCTGAGTGCATGCAAAATGAACATCCTGAGGTTTTCACTGAATGATCCAGTAATGACGTTTTGATTAAACATTACAAGATACAAAAAAATGTTAATTCAAACATATGCATGGATTAATTGTTCACAATAAGATCTATAGTATGCATTAAGAAAATAGATTAAATAAGGTGAATTATCATTGCATGCTGACATTATTTGTCTCTCTCTAATGTGTTTAGTGCATTAGTTTCAATTGCAGTTTAGTTGTAAACATGTGACATATGCACTTTATCATGATTATAGTTATCCATTGTGTATTTATGTACAGAGCGATCTGATATGAAATATTCTAGGAGTGTAACTGTACACAGAAATGATGGTTCAGTACGTACCTCGGTTTTAAAGTCATGGTTTGGTAAGTTTTAGGTACAGAAGGGGAAAAAACTAAACACAAAAAATGCTTCTTGTTGTTTAATGATCAAATTGTGGCTCTGTCTTTAAATAAATTCAATTATAATCATAATTTTCTCAGGAATAAAACCTCTATCTCAGCAAATGCTGTAACTATATAGGAACCCCTATTATTTGCACATTACTATAATATTAAAAGTTCCAATTAACAACAGAGCACAAGCTATTAAATTCAAATGCTATACTATAAATATAATAATCGACACAAAAAAGCATTTGTTGTTTGAATATCCTGATAAAATGGACAGAATTTGAAAGATGACAAGATAACAAAACACAATTAGGTGCGCTATAGACAATCTAGTGAAGTTTTATTCACGCATCAACTAAAACAGCATAGACTAAAAGATCGATGTTGAGATTTAGGAGTCATTATTGATTAATTAAAAGTAAAATATATAAAACTAGGAGTTTTAAAGTAAGTTCCGCATATGTGCAGTGGTTAAAACATACGTATCGAACCGAAAGACTTGTACTGAAAATTTCCTGTATGTATACAGGTACTGTTACACCCCTAAAATATTCAGACTCGATCTGTATTCTAGTAGTATTTGAAGGCTTTGGAGACATTCTGCTCTGTGTGTGTGATTGTTCCTGACCTCTCTCCTCTGATTTATCAGGCAGCTCCAGCCGAACCCGTCCTCGGGTCTGGACCTGTCTGACATAGACTTTCACGACCTTGTGCAGAACGGAGATTTCTCCCAGGTAAGAGCAGATCCCGTCTCTTTTGTTATTGATCGAGGTTGAACTCACCAGAACCATTGGGAAAGTAATTCAAAAACAAGCACTGAATGTGTCATTTTTCCTTTTTTGATATTGGTTCCTGATTCGTGAGAATTGGCTCTGAAAATTCTTCCCAAAGAGGAAAACTCAATACAGTATGGAAGAATTTATCTGTAACTTGCAATCACGTCACTGCGTCCCAGAATCACCACTAACATGTGCTTTGACTATTTTATGCTTTAATAAATAGCTTCGTCTGCAGGAAAATGTACGCCATCATTACGGCGAATGCAGGATAAAAGCGCAGGTTTGAATATCTGAAGCGCAGCATACAATTATGATGATGTAGCTGCGGCGTTAATGCGAACACATTAATGAGATGTTCATTTTAGCGCCGCTACAGAATGTTATTTGTGTAATGAATAAACTGAACTGAAAGTGAAATCAACCAAGATCTCATTCTTGAATCATGATTTGGTCAAAAACAAAAAACAACAAAAAAACTAAAATAATTTTAAAATGTGAACGTTGCATACTGTTGTTTGACACAGTGTTATTTTAGTATCATTGAGCTAAAATTTGTATTTTTATTTTATTTAGTTTTTATTAATATTTTGAATTATTATTTTACTATTTTTGTTTTTATTTTAATTTAAAAGTTTTAGTATTTTTTTGGTTTGTTTTTATTATTTTAATTGTAATTTTTGTATGTCTGCAAAGATTTTATTAATTTTTATATCAGTTTTAGTGTTTAGTACACCAAGTTAAAATACATGAAAATGAGAATTGTTGCCTGGCAACTAACTGAAATAAAATAAGTTTAAGTTTGTTTTTTTTTTTGTCTTTTTTGCAATATTTTAAATAAGTTAAAGTTTATTTGGTAACACTTTACAATAAGGTTTGTTAGTTAACTTTAGTTAACATGAACTAAGCATGAACAATATTTCTACAGCATTTATTAATCTTAATGTTAATTTCAACATTTACTAATGCATTATTAAAATCAAAAGTTGTGCCTGTTAACATTAGTTCTCTGTGAATTAACATGAACTAACAATGAACCACTGTATTTTCATTAACTAACATTAACAAAAATTAATAAATACTGTAATAAATGTATTGCTCATTGTTTGTTCTTGTTAGTTAATGCATTAACTAATGGAACCTTATTGTAAAGTGTTACCGTTTATTTTATGTTTGAGTGTTGCATGCAGTGCACAGCTTCACAATCTTATTAAAAATAGTAGGAATCGCAGTATTTACTGCAGTGTATTCTCTACATAGACTATCACTCTGTGTCACGTGGAATGATATTATATGGAGGAAAGAGTTTATCTCTTTCTTGCTCTCTCTGTGCATGAGAACATAGAAACTAGTTAGGATAAAATGTTTCCAGCTTTATATTTGATTGTTCAGTCGTCTTTGCACAGATCTTATCCACATAACTAACACTGAACTGAAATGATTGCAAATGGAAATATCAGTTATATGCTGCTTATGTTTTGCTGTTCAGGCACATACTCACTATTTACTCTCTATTTGCATACTATCAAAAGCCATACACTGCTGTCAACACTTCTTAAACTACATGCGGTAAAATTAGGCTTGGCTGCCTGTAAATATGGACACAAAAGCATCATTTGCTGCAGTGTTAAGCTCATGCTTTTCTCAAATGAAAGTCTTCTGGTACAGCTCTAGTTTGGTTAAATCTGCATTGTTTACAGATTTTTTTTTTATTATAGGCTGTTCGATGCATTCCGGTGTTTTTGTTTGCTATGGTTGTAACATGAAAATTATTAACCATGATATCACGTGATTGGTTACCTGAAATCTTTATTTTTTTAATTAGTTTATTTGAAATCTTTATTTAGTTAATTCGTTTATTTATTTAATTTGTGACGCTACTGTTGATTGGTTACCTGAAATCGTTCATTTATTTATTTGTTTGTTTGTTTATTTAAATTTGTGATGCTACTGTTAATCTTTTATTTTCCTCTTAATTAATTAATTAAATTTAATTTGTTCTGCTACTTGTGATTGGCTACCTGAAATCTTTCATTTTTCTCTCTTATTTATTTATTTAAATTGTGATGCTACTTCAGCAGCATTATTTTCTCTGATATTGTATTTACGATAGAGCAAATATTTACAAATATACAAAATTTATTATGAATTTTATTTATCTAAATAACTTCTGATCATTATATCAAAGTCAGATTGTGCTGATTCTAATCTCTTTGTTTTGTATAATAAAAGTCCCTGTTTATTATAATTGCATAGAAAAGAGTGAACAGCAGTTTTTTTTTAAACTCCAATTCCAAAAAAGCTGTGTAAAAATGTAAATAAGAATAAGAACAGAATTTGCAAATCTAATTTTTTATACATATTTGCATTGAAAATAATCTAGGACCCTTGTTCACAGCTGTTTGGTCGACTAGTCTAAAAGCAAGAAACCCCCAAAAGATCGTAAGAAAAAAAAACCTCTGTGTGTGCGTGTAGCATTTATAATAGCCTATATTTGAAATACTTAAAATATGAATCACACTGTCAAATCCCTCAATGAATTCCGCTTGCCGCACACTTGCCTCGCGTTATCATCATTTCATTTTAGGCGGTCGTTAAAAAGAAAAAAAAGAAGAGCATACACTCAACGTCGGTCAAAGCATAGCTTATGTATTCAAATCAGCTGGGGAAATGCAGAACAATGGAAAATCAATCAATAGCCTGACAGAATTCTTAAAGGGGTCCTATTATGCTCTTTTACAAAGTCTTGATTTTGTTT